ACAAAAAGCTAACAGCAGCAGTCACTTGACAGAGCTGTCACTCAATGCGACCACGCCCTAATTTATGCAAAAACTTTAAGACCTAATATAAATAAAAGGGTCATGTTAGAAAACAATTCACTCACAGATTCATAATCATGAAGGTGGAATCTAACTATATACATAATAATATTTATTGCATCCAGGGCTAGAAACGTTTTTTTTCTGCTGTGAAATTGGGCATTTTAACATGGGGCTCTATGGAAATTGCTCCTTTCTGCAGTCATCGCCTATCGGCCAATATATGAACTGCAGTTTGTGGCACTTCCGTATTGGCGTCCCGGCTCTTCCCCAGAGTTTGCCGCTTGGAACAGACACGTTAAATGAATCGAATGCGTGTGAACTAGGGATGGGTATCGTTAAGGTTTTAACGGTACTACTACTTTTATCGATACCGCTTATCGGTCCGGTCTTTTAACGGTACTTTTATCGGTTCTTTTGGAGAGAAAAATGAGGTAAACTAACTATATGTTGTATGTCAGGGACTACGGATGGAAATTAGCTCAAAGCTAAAAATCCGGCATAGTTACACTTCAAATAAACGATTAAATGAAAAATGAAAATAAACAAATTGTGAACAAAACTAACATTGCTTTTTATTTAAATTAAATACATAATATTTCACATCAAAAGAAACAACAATGTTTTAACAATTGGTATTAAATAATGTGATGACAGAACTGTAAACAGAAAGGCTGAAACTTTAACAAAATAAATAACTCAGTTACCTCTAATCATTAACCCATGTTTGTATAATTGAGTTAACTCTGTGTGTTGCTGCTAGCATACATAACACCCGACGTGGAAACGTTACTCGTGGATGGGGCTACAGAGCTACTAGAAAGACAGTCGAACCCGGTGCATTTCTCCGTCTGAATGTGGTGCACTTTTGCTAAATGTTTAGACAAATTGCTCGTGTTACCGCCCTTACATGCTAAACTCTTATTGCACTTTTGGTAACGAGCGAGACGGGTAAAGTTTAACCACACCTCGGAGCGCGTTCTTTCCGCCATCTCCTCCGTGTGTGTGTGTTGCTGCATGTAGCAGCTGCGTGTGTGTAAACTGCCCCGCCCCCTCGCACACAGACGGGAGAGAGAGATCTCTCGCCTGGATTGGAAAGATCGAAAATACAAAAAATGACGCATTTTGCAGTCTTTTTGCGTATTAGAAACGGAGTTGGCGACACTAAAACTGCAATATAATGTTTGTGTAGCAATAATACACATAACATATTTTTTACATGTCTCCAGTACCGATAAAAAGACCGATAACGTCGGAGCTTAACGGTACCACGGTCTTTAATAATTCAGCCCTGGGGCCCGTTTAATACCGGGGCTCGGTACCCATCCCTAGTGTGAACGGAAGACTTTTTTGAAAACGCATACGGTGCGTAAACGCAAACGTTCCCGTGTAAATGGGGTCTTATATACCAAATCTCCTTCCTGCATCACCACTAGACTGTTAATCAAGTTTATTCCACTCCCCTACCCATTTATAAACTTCTATGTACTTTTAACCAATTGAGTCAATATCACCATGCGGTGCATTTGAGACTTCCCCATTTCCCAAAAAGAAATCTGAGATTTTCCATTGAACTTCATATTCATTGTATTAAGTATACGTTATGCTGTTAGAAATGGATGTTCGTCAAGCTCACAAACTTTTTATAAATGAACTGCAAGTACATGCAAACAGCAAAATGTATCCACCCTGTCATGGACACAATTCAAAGATTTAATACATAGTAATTACATAGTGATTATAAAATATACATTTTCAGAAAGCTATAGTCCCTTGAACCTTAATATATTCTAAATATTCTTTTGTAGAGAAAATAATGTTTAAAATATATTAAGGGTCTTATCACATCATCAAAATGATGATCATCCACAAATTACGAACCGTAAATCACCATCCACAATGGTCCTCTTGATTAAGATACAATGTCACACCAGACAAGAACCACACCCCAGTCATCTATAACTTCATTAACTACTTTCTAAATGTACTGGTGGCAGCTCATTAACAGATAAACAAATACTGTTGACTGTGAGCAAACAAAAAATCGGATTGTGAATAGTATTTACAGTAGTGTCTCTACAGGGACATGTCTCAATGCTTTAATGTTCAAAAAGCTCTTTATTTTTCTGTGCTGCAGCACCTCTTTTCACCCTCTGTCTGAAACCAGAGCCCAGTCTTCTCTGATTGGTTAGCTGGCCTGCTATGTTGTGATTGGTCAACCGCTTAGAGATGTCCCGCCCCTTAGCCTATCACGTACAATGTGTTGGAGCGCTAGCCAATAGAAGCGCAAGTGTTACATGTTAAAGGGGAAAAAAAACAAAAGCATATTAGGGCCTCTTAAAAACATTATACCAAATTCCTAAGTAGGATCTCTGGTAGGGTAAGGGTTATAGGATATTAAGTTTAAAATTAAAATTGCGAAAACTTACAACTACTAATTAACAACCTCTCCTGCTCTAGATGATGTTGCGGCACTGAGACAAGCAAAAGCAATAATGTATTGTTATGCATATAGGTCAACAAATGCTTAACCTATGCAGGAGGATATCAAAAAAAGCATGCACAAAAACAACATATTGCTAAGATAGGGGCCCTAATGTATGCTTCTGTAATGGCAGCTGTGACATTCATGGATCAAAGTCCACACCAGGCGCTCCCTGGACAGCTGCTCCTACAGCATGTGTGCAATCTGTTCACTGATGAATCTGTGCCAGGTGAACTTCTCTGGATCAGTGCTTACAGTCTTAATGCAGTTGTTTTTCAGCTCCACACCATATCGACTCCAGTGAAAGGTGAAGCAGAGGGAAATCAAGGGGCCTTGTATGCTAACACACCAGTAAGCTAAAGCTGTAGGCACCAGAGTAGCATGATGAATTGTGCTCAGCATTAAATGCACAACATATTGATTCCTCCATGACTAAGCACATTTAGGTGTCCCTGTGTGGCAGGTGGTTCGGTGGACCTTGAGGCTGAGGGATGTGATAACTCTGTGTGATGCTGCGGTGCTCAGTCTTCATCATAAACACAACAGCAACATCATGCTGTCATCACTCCACAACAGTTTTAAGACCCTTATTAAGTGTGTGTGCATTCTCAGTGTCAGCCAAGTCCTTTCCTTCCAGGACAGCACAGATTTACAGGCAGGTAGAGTTTGGCAAAAGGGACATTAAAGGTTGTTTGGACTGAATATCTACTTTTCTAACAGAATAAATATACAGCATATTGGAGGAAAAGATGACGATTCAACGGAATTTCCGCAATTAATTATTAATAGTCTTCTAAAAACTTCTGACAAGGACAGATAACAAAGTAGTTTTGAAACCTGCATGACCATGCTGCCTTCAGGGTATGTGGGAAGAGAGAATGTCATGACTCAGCCATTCCTACACCCCACATTCATGGACAAAATGCATTATTTAGGCTGCATTCAGATTATCAGTCCAGGTTCACATTATCAGTCAAGGTACAGACACATTGAAATGCGTCAACTAAGACTTTTTCAGTATAATATTTATATTAGCACATTTGTTTCAACAATGCATTACGCAGTTCTGAAAAGTAAACAAAAAAGAAGCTTGGGCTAAAGGATCCAGACTGATTTCCACATTATTGAAATCTCCATAATGATCAATCTGCTTGACAAGGAGGCATCCAATGGGGGATCATTAACAGACGACAGAAAGAAGAGGGGGAGCGTTGTGAAGCGGCAGGGAGAGTTAATGTATGAAGGTGGTGAGGTTTTCTGTACGCATCTCTTGGCTGTTGCTTAAAGCAACAAGCATCTGCTCAGTTTCTGCCGAACAGATGCTTGTTAACACTGTGTCATGCACATATGCTGTTAATACAGAACTGCCTGGACTGCATACTGAGCACAGTGACACATCGCTTCCTATGAGGTTTTATTTTCTTAACAACTGTAAACGTTTTATGTACATTTAAATGCTAAAGTCTTGGGTTGTGGTCTAATAGTCTGTTTTTCTTAGGAAGGTTCCTATCATGGTGAAATAACCCGGAAGTACCTAAGTATCAACCATGATGAGAGCTGTTTGAATTCTCTAGAGATGATAGGAAAGCAGCTTTGACTTCTTCCAGACAAAGCTTCCAGTGGATAGTAAACTATCTCCTTTAGCTTATATGATCATTATAGTTATAAAATGAAAAACAGTTATGAAATACTATATGACAGTAAAACAAGAATAGAGTTTAAAAGGGGAGTGATTAGTAAAATATCCATAAAGAAAAAGAAAATCTGTTTACAGTTCTGTTTTCATATGGGTGTTGAGAGATGTCCATAGATCTCTTCATTTTGCTCTCAAAGTGCATTTTACTTCAATATTTCAAAAATAAATCTTCCCAGGGGAGCATGGCCCCGGACCCCCCCTAAAGGATGTTAGGTCCACTTCCCACTTATAAAAATAGCACTTTACCCCTGCTTACACAGCCTATATGCCGTGAGCTGATTATCGAGCCTTCATTGTAACAGTGTTGCAGTAGAAAATTCCACTGTAGCGCCCGGTACCTTAATGGGAAACCCTACATGTTTGAGCACCCTCTATGAAACGTCAAGCTACCCCACAGCACTCCCAAAAGAAAATCTCTGGCACCGCCACTAAGCCCCGAATGTTTCCAGGTCCAGGAAACGCCCCTGCCTGTGACGTTTATTGTGGAGGTAAAGGATAAGTGGTTAGGAAAAGACATAGGACCTGATTTTTGACAATTCGATTGTAGCTCTGTTCTCTAACAATTTCTTTGAATTTAGTTCTGTAAAGGCCCCAAAGTACATAACTCACAAGGCTGACTCAGTTAATCTGAATTCTAACAAGTATGAAAACAAAAATACTCTCCCATGAAACTCTTGAAATAGAAACTATTACATTTCCCATTTTTGATGAGACAGCTCAAACTCTTCCTGACAGCATGAATTACTTTCATGCGCTCACCTCCCTCAAACTCTGTCTGACAGTTGCCAGAGTTTTCCTTCAGGCTCTCTTCCTCGTTGATGATGATGTTCTCGATGTCCTTCATGGTCAGATGGTCGCGGAAGGCGTAGAACAGGATGTGTTTCAGCTCCTCCAGGGTGATCTTCTGCATGTCGAACTGCAGGGGAGAGATGAGAGGCGGGGATTAAAAAATGGACAGACTATTTTATTTTCACATTTAGGAGGCCCTATCATGCTCATTCAGGTTTTTATTTGAAAAGTGCCTCTACTATGACATGTTTCCATCCTTTAATGCTCAATGCTTCTAAATGATGGCCGTCCTGTTGAAAGCTTCCTCTGGAAGGTCGACCATAACGTTTTGCTTTTGTTTGGTCGATTTGGTTGCCATATTTTGGTGTTGTGGTATGCAAATTATATTATTATTCACTTAGTATTAAGTTAGAGTTACAGGCTTTGAGAATATTAAAACATTAACATTTGCGGGAGCAAGACTCAACAAAGGTCTTTTCCATCCTACCAAAACCGACGTCGATATTGTTGACTCTGAGCCAATATGGCCGTCAGATTGGGAGTTACGTTTTCGAAAACTGGGGTTTAAAAACATGTTTTTCAGATGTTCATATTTGTATTTTGTGTTTCTACTGTGACATGTTCACCTCTTTTCACCCTCTGCCTGAAACCAGAGCCCAGTCTCTGATTGGTTAGCTATGTTGTGATTGGTCAACTGCTTAAAGCTGTCCCGCCCCTTAGCCTGTCACTTACAATGTGTTGGAGTGCTTGCCAATAGAGCAAGTATTACATACAGTAATGATGTCACTATGTTACATAAGTAAACAAATCAGTCCAATGGAGGCGTTTCCAGGCGGGGGGGAGAAACACTTTGCAGACCATGTTCTAGTCCAGGGACGTGCACAGGTACGGGCTATTGTTGCCTGGGCAACGGCCCGTTTGCCCTGACCTGCCCCTCTGGAGAGAGCGAGAGTTTATTTTTATTTGTTTCTGTTGTGGCCGAATCAACATGATAAGCCCACAATTAGTATTGTAGCGTTTCGCTGCAATAAAACACACCTTGTCAGCGCTGTCATCTGACAGTGCGTTAAAGACCACCTCTAGTGTCGGATTTTGGAAAATTGATTTTGAGTTTTCTCATGGCAGTTAGGGTAGGCTATAGGCGAAAAACCAGGGGACTTATCTTCCTCTTGACACCAAAAAAACACCTACATATACTTGTTATTGTGCTTCTGTCTTTCTGTGTCTTTTCATCTGTAAACTCCCTCACCCTCTCTCTCTTCTCTTGATCGCCCTCTCACGGGAGAACAGTTCACTGTCCCGCTTCATTGTAGGATTTCTACCATGTCTCTACTTCAGTTTGACCATCTCTGTTATTAAGTGATGGAATACTATAATAAATAAGTAATTAGATACCTTACCGTTACTGCGCTCATAAAGAATGATAAGAATAAGAAAAATGCGTATTGAACTGGTTTAATTAATTAGTGAGTTTATTTAAAGGAAACCTATCATGCTATATTTAAATGATATATTGTAGGGCCATACCTATATAAGGTATATTTATACGTTTCTGTTTTCGAAATGCCAAACAGATCATGCATTTTAGCCATGCCTCATTTCGCTCTATGTGTTGTTTGCTGTCTACGGGTCTGATTTTGTGAGCTGCAGCTGACCACGCCCCCCTGCAGGAGAGGGGAGCCGTGCTCTGATCAGCTGCTGGGCTGTCAGAAGAGGGGGAGAAAAAGAGATCTCCGTAATCCGTGTTTTATTATATAGAGTCGTTATTCATTTGTTTTAAAGCTCAATAAATAACAAAGAAGACCTTTGACCGGCACTTTTCTAATTTTGTCCGGAAGATTTAAACTTTAACGGACATCTTGACCGGCGAAAGAAACTGAAACTGAAACTCTGCCGCACGGTCCCCTCGTTCCTTGGAAGAGGCGGAGAGGTGGGTGTTTGTCATCTGCTGGTGGACTAACCGGAGAGAATTACAGTGCTTGCCTCGACGGGGAGGGATTGCATTGCAGCGGGAGCAAACGCTTGCCTCGGGGAGGGAGAAAGAAAGCCACAGCGGAGAATAAACATAAGGGTAACCATGGTAACCAAGTCTTCTTCGCTGCTTTTGTGGCAGACTACAGCGTCACTTACAGGCCTGGCATATGTACTACAGCGTCTCCAGCGCTTTCGAACGGCAATGGCCGTGGCTGTCTCCTCCTGATTGGTGGAGTTGGCCCAATAGCCGTAGCGCCACTTTGCTGACGTCAGTAAAGTGTTCAAATCTGGATCAGTTTTTATCAGATCCGTTGCAGCCCCTTTTTTAGAGATTTGGATATGGAGGAAAATAGAGAGGGTTGTGTTTTCTGACACTTGGTGAGTTCCCTGGAACACCGGGGACACATATTCATGTATAAAAGACGTACAAAAGTGCATTTTGCATGATAGGTTCCCTTTAAGGTAAGTAGAAGACCATTTTATCAGTATGTCTGCACAGCAGTTACAATGGTCTGGTCAAACTACATTAAAACAGAATTGTCGCCATTTTCTCTTTAATAGTTACTAACATTAGATATTTTAATGAGATATGGACCGCACAACTAAAAATGTCCCTGGTTTTCCTTTTATGAACTACCGAATGCAAGTAGTCGCCTTAGCTTATTTTGTTATGAGATGATAATGTGAATTACTCTTCAAATTAGTTAATGTAAAAATCGTTTGGTTTCTTTTACATTAAAAACAAGTTAGAATATTCAAAAGGTCTTATGTTTTTTTTCGGGGGGAGGCCCTTTTTTCAGTTTAGAGCAATAGCCCCTCCAAATATCTGTGCACGTCCCTGTTCTAGTCATTCTCTGCCATGAACATCCCGGTACGCTAAACGCATTCACTTTAATCAGGATCTCACACACATTTAATGCACTGATTAAATTGATTGTGCAGGTTATAGCCTGGGAGTGATGGATTTATTGTCCACTTCAGTATATACACAATTCAATCCAAAAGAAGGCAGGCACATAAAGAAGACAAAAACACCACAACTTGTAAAATGGTGGTTTGAAGGACTTACTGAAGGCAGCTGGAAAGTTTACAGGAGTTCAGAGAGATGTATATCCTCTAGCTTGCCTTAAAGAAGACCTTGCTTGCCTTTGAGTGCACCAACTACTTGAGAGCAGCCCTTCACATAACACTTAACAGCGCTAATAAAAACAAGACAAGTGTTTTTTAGAATAAGCTGCTTAAAACATCAGAACAATCGAGTGAATATTATTTACAGTAAACCTGACTGAGAATAAATTAAACATCCTCGCAAAATCCTGAAGCAGTTGATAGGACTGGATTCATTAAATCACTCTGGATGTTGGCATGAACAAACCCTGTCATTTCAACTGACTCAATAAACACAACTCATTATTGGTAAGATGCCCTTTCCTTCAGAAATCAGGTTGATGAAGGCGTCTATAGAACTGACTCTAGAGGACGGAGAAGTCTCAGACCAAAGTTTGGAAGGAACTAAGTACACTTACTCAAGTACACTTGTACTTTACTTGAGTTTTTTCATTTTATTCCTACTTTGTACTTCTACTCCACTAAAATGCAGAGGTAAATCGTGTACTCTACTCCACTTCATTGATTTAATACCTTTAGTTACTTTACAGATTTGGATTAATGATGTGAAATATAATCAAGCCTTAAATCAGGCTTTAGTTACACCTGGAGTCAGGGCCGGTTTTTGGCATTTTGGCGGTTATTTGCAATTAGTTGCCCAAGACTTCTGCTTTCAGACGTAGTTCATTATGACGTTATTACCCTATCCGATAATAATCCGATGCAGAGGCAATAATGTAACATAATACATTATTTTACATATATTATATATTTATATATGTATATTTATGTCGTCTTAAAGTTACAACCGGCCCTTTGAGTGCAACTTTAATGCTGATGTGGCCCGCGATGACATTTAGTTTGACACGCCTGGTTTAGATAGTTCACTTTAGTCTAAGTTATCTCAGTGGGTCTCAAACGTTTTGATCACAATTTATGTAAACAATTATTTCCAAGGCACACGTTTATAATTATTAGGATAAATAAAAACAGGTTTGAAATCATTCCAATGTATACTATAGACAGTAAACCAAACATATTGTTTAAAACTGGACAGATAAAAAAAAATACATAAATAAATAAATAAATGTTAACTAGGTAAAATAAGATATAAATGAACAACAAAAATAAAATACGTTACATTTATTTGTTATTGGCTATGGTAGGTTATTGGTTATGTTCATATACTTCTTTGATTATTAAAATGTAAACCGATCTTTTTCATATGGGTGTTTAAAGTTGTACCCCCTAGATCAGGTCTCTGGTAAAGTGCACCAGATTGAAGCATTTTACTTTAAAATATTTTAAAGCAAAAATCTTGCCTAGGGCAGCAAATTGGTCAGAACCGGCCCTGCCTGGAGTCAAGTCACAAGCTACCGTGAGGTATACAAAGTCATTCAAACTAGCTGCACCTTTACCAGCTTTGAGAACACTTTAATGATCAATAATATCATGTATATTATTCTGAAATGGACCAATCTGCACATGACTACTGTACTTTTACTTTTGGTACTTTAAGTATATTTTGATGCTAACACATTGTACTTTTACTTGAGTAACATTTTGAATGCAGGACTTTTACTTTTAACTGAGTATTCCTACACTCTAGTACTTCTACTTTTACTGAACTATGAGATCTGAGTACTTCTCCCACCTCTGTCTCAGACATATCATAGGCCTGATTGGCTTTGAAAGACATGGACTCCGCTATCCCTCACCAACCTACCCTCAACAAAGCAGCAGCATCAGTGGTGGAAGAAGTACTCAGATAACTTACAGAAGTAGCAATACTAAGTTGTAAAAGTAGTCTTATACAAGTCCTGCATTGAAAATCTTACTTTAGTAAAAGTACTAATTTATCAGCATCAGATTATACATAAAGTACCATAAGTAAAAGTAGTCGTGCCTATAGGCCCTTTTCATAATCATATATATCAAATGATTGGATTATGATCAGTGGGGCGAGAAGTACTCAGATTCTTAATTTAACTAAAAGTAGAAATACATACATTAATATCAGAATACTCCATTTCGAGTAAAAGTACA